TATATTTATATGGCAGAGAACAGAAATGGCTGTCAGCTGAGATGCCTGTAGGAGGCAATACAGAGAGGGGAAAAGTTCTTATGTGAGGGCTTTCAGAAGAAGGAATATGGATTAAAAATGGGATGTTACTATTGATTAAACTATGACTGAGACAACTGTGCCTTCCAGCCTGTCAGCTGTTGCTGCTTTTCTTTTGATGGTTGAGAGATGTACCATTTTCTGCACTTTAAAAAGAAATCTTTTCTCATTTTTCCATCTATCTGCAACACTTTATTCCACAACTCCAATCCATTTTTAATTAATCCCATTCAAACCCCAGTCCCACCAAAAAAAACGAGGGGGAGAGAATGTTACATTTTTAATTAATCCATGTTTAATACTTTACTCATTATGAAACTATTATTCCTAAGGTCTTGCTTAGGTGCTGACACTTAAGCTTAACCTAATGAATGTATTAGGTACTTTTTGTGCTTGCAGGTTTGTGCAGCAGGCACTGCAAGAGGCATGAAAGACGAGTTCCTGTCTTGGAAAATCTGACTCATCAGAGAAACAATTTTTAGGCATAGGCATTTTGAATTGAATTAAATGAAGCATTTGTGGTCAGAAGGTGGCAAATTTCATAGAAGAATGGATGTAAATAATTAAGTGAAGATGGAGTGATAATAGATCTGACTGATGCATACAGCCTCTCATTTCACTTTTCAAAGATTGGTCTAAGTCTGTCTGAATTTCAATTGAATCCTTCACCTGAACTTGAAATTTCAACTTCAGGCCATCTCCAAACTGAAGCCAGTACTCATTCTGTGTCTAGTATGTCGCCAGCTACCACCTCATGTTTATTTCATCCTGGATACTTGGATTTGATTAAACATGATAGAAATAGGCTTTCATAAGAAAAAATCAAATAAATGAATTTTAAATCTTTAAAAAAACAGCTTTTACAAAAATTCAACATTTCTTCCCCATCATTTTCTCTACCCTCATCTTATTACCTAGGTCTCTGCTACGCTTTCTGTAACTGACATCATATAAATCAAGATTCAGTCAGGAAACAAAAGCAGCCACTCTATATATTCCAGGAATGGAGAGTTTATTGCAGTACATAGAATTCATACAGCAGTTGGAGACTAGAGGAGTGAAGGTCAGGGATATCTCTATCAGGATCAGGGGGTGTTTCACCACAGATCATCTGGAACAGTCAAGCAGAGTGCTTTTCAAGAACTTATAGAGAAGCAGCTATAATTTTAGGAATTCCAGGGAGTCCCTACCAGTCTGCAGCAGTGAAGCAGGTGGTTTCCAAGAATTCTCTGGAAAGCTGCTGCCCACACTTCACAACAGTCTCCAGAGTATAACCATCTCTTTTCCAATTTCTGCATCTCACATGAATGCCTTCGTTAGCCAAGTCTAACCCATTGGCACATGGAGGAGGAGATTCTCTCAGAAACAGTTTCTAGCATCTCCAAAGCCGGAGTGGTAGTGACACTGAGTTGAGACTAGACAACACACAAATGTAGAGATCTAATTTGGCTCTAAAGGGAGCTTATTGAAACCATCCTATTGTCATTCAGCAACTTCATGTTTCAAGTCCAGTGAAAAGCAATTTACTGTGCAATAAATGTGTCTTACAAATCCTTTGATATAAATTTATAGCTGTTTTTGTAGCCAGTAGTCTACCTTGCAACATCAGAGGGACTTCTTTGCTGGAAATAGGTTATTTTTCAAACCAAACTAGAAACTAAGACTTTTTTCTTACTATTTTTTTTTTTAGGATTCCACAGTTTTTTAAATTAAATATCAATTCACTTTTCCTAATGCAGTAAATACATATTTTAAGGGAAGCAGTTCATCCAGGAATAGTTTTGCTCCCATGGGACATTTGACATTGTCTGGAGACATTTTTGGCTGTCACAACCTAAGCAGTGCCATTGGCATCTAGTGGATGGAGTTCAGAGATGTTGCTAAAGGGACTACAATGCACAGGACAGCTTCACAACACAAAGGAATTGTCTGGCCCCAAATGACAGTCAGTAGCCTGAGACTGAGAAACCATATGTTAAGGCAGCGCAATACAGAGGAAAAGCATTGACTGCAGAGTCACATCTGGATCAGGATTGTGGCTCTGCCACACAGGAGCTGAGAGATCATGGACAATTGCATTGCATCTGCCATTTTCAGTTTCCCCATTTACATTAGGTGTAGGAATAGCCTGCCTTGCATAATTGCTAAGAGAATTCAAAATGGCACCTGGCACATAGTAAAGTACAAGTAAGTTAGTAGCTCTTCAGTGGTTTGTTACTGTTACATAGATACTTGTTTTCTTAACACTGTGAACTGTTGATTGATTTTTAGATAACTCCTAATGGACCTGCGTGGTGTTGGTGGCTTCTCGCGGTTCTTCCTGTGGACCCTCGGTATCAGCTGTCAGTATTGTCAATGAAGTCTTTGGAGGACCGGTTGACAAAGATACAACATATACTGACCTATTTTTCTAGAGACCAGTCCAAGTAACTACCTGCTTGGATCTTACTTAAGCTATCCTAATCTGGCTGTGTTGATGCCAGATTGTCCGCTGCCTTTGCACATCCAGTGCTGGTTTAAGAAATGTAACAAAACATTTTTCTTCAACCTCCTGAATCTTGTGGATCTGCAAATGAATACCTTCAACTAGGATTTAGACCACTAATAACTTGCACAGTAAAACACGCAGTAAATGTGTGTTAAACCTCTACATTGTGATAAAGTTGCACTATGTACCATAGTCTAAAATGAACCTAGTACTCTGTATATGTATGTATGTAGTGTGTGTGTGTGTGTTTATCTGTCTGCGTGTGTTTGCGTGTGTGGGTAATATGTGTGCTTTTTCTCTGGCTTTAAGATTTAAAAAAAAGAAAAAAGCCATAGAGAGCTGAACTTGCCGAGGGTCATTTATTGCCCAAGTTTACAACAGTAGTGATACAAGTTTTTGCAAATTGAATTTGCCTCAGATTATCTGTCCTAATGCTTATATTTGCACAAGTGTATAAAATATGGTACATATAAAGTATTTTTTGTTGGAAATACTGCTCTTGCTGAACTGTCTTGACCATTGACTATGACACAGTTTCTTGTTTATGTAAATATTTGCATCCCAGTGGCTGAAAGACATTGGATGCAGAACCTAGAGCCAGTCTTCAGGAACAATTGCAAACCTGACATGGTACTGTGCGTCTATCCATAAAACACTTAAAACTGTGAAAATATGGTTTACATTTCATTGTACATAAAGGTAAGTGGAGAGCTTGATTCAGTACCCGTTAGCGTGTACATTTTAGGGGGCTTTTCATATTAACTGCCTGTCTGTGTAATTTATAGTTTGACATGATGCGTTTGTTTAAAAACTTACATATTATAAACTCACTAAGGATCTGAGGAAAGAAAAGAAGCTTAACGTAGAACTAAGCTTTTACAGTTTGTTTTGTTTTTAAATTCTGGTCTTGGTGCAAATGTTAGTTATGCCTTATTCATATCACAGATTACCATGCTGTGACATGGTTTATATTCATGCTGCCCTAGATACTTTTGTAATTATTTGTTTGCAAATTTGTGACTGTCCCTATTAACTTTCTTTTATGTAAGTAATTTGTAAGTTTCTTAAAATTTTTGCTTTTGCTTATTTAATTTTGAATAAAAGCTAAATTCATAATAATTGTTGTCTTAAATTTTAGATCAGTGCCATAAAAAGATCAATAGAGGAACCAAAGTACATATAGTAAGTTTTGCTTGCTGTTTTGTGACATAGACGTAAGCTGTAATTTTCAAAACACATTTTTTGAAAACGTGTTTTTGAATGCAATGTCTTAGGGAAGCTTCAGGTCCTAGAATCATCCTCAAATGCACTGTTTTTTAACCTTTTAAAAGCCACTGTCCCTTTAGAATAAAGATGTCTTGAGATATCTCTTTGTTACACAGACTGACTGTTTCTGCTTCTAATTTCCCAGCTAAGATTTTCTAGATATAGTAAATCATCTTTTAATACTGATTTTTTAAAATAAAATCACATTCACCCCACAATTATACCATTTGAGAATCTGCTCAATATTTCTGCAGAAAACACCTAAAGAGTGGGCCTTTTCCCAATACCTTATCAATACTTTCTGAAGTGTGAGATTAAACTTTCTTATAATTAAAAAACTACTAAGTACCTGTTAAACAGGGAATTAGTATAAATGAAGAGTTCACCAATGTGTTCCTCAAAATACATTAGATGGCAAAAGAAGTTACCTGATATTGAATCCTTCAAAGAATAATGGACAATTGTGTACACAAACACGCACAAAAATGGGCATTAAGTGATTTTCATATAAGTATATTCTGTATGCACACACCAGTGGAAATTTATGGGTCTTATTTGATACTAATTTTGTGACAAATGATCTCTAACAGTTATTCTACCTATGCCTGTTTTTTTCTTTGTGAAATTTTTCTCACTATATGTTCCATACACTTTATTTAAAAAGAAAGAGTAAATGAATCACAGGACTTTTTCCTTTACCACTTCAGGTGCCTAAATTCTGTTATGAATTCAGTATTTCAAGCCAAAGTTTATATATCTGTCTACATGTCCAATTCTTCCTGTTCTTCCAGGTCCAAGTCAGATACCTTCACTCAGGTAGGAGAACTCTGAAATCCATAGTGCTTTCCTACACTTTGCTTGCAACACTTAAGAAGTAACTGAAATAAATACATAAACTCTCTCCTGAGTATTATGACAGGTGTTTAGCAGTACACACAGATTTAAGATTTAAGGGATCATAGGCTGGCCACTGAACATAAATGAAAATAGACTGGTTAAGAAGGGAAGGAGGGCTGGTGGAGTGGCTCAAGTGGCAGAGCGCCTGCCTAGCAAGCATGGGCCCTGAGTTCAAACCCCAGTATCACAAAAAAAAAAAATAAAAAAAAGAAGGGAAGGAAATTAAACAAGATAGTTGGACAGAGCAGATACCTCTGCCTCCTTTTCCTCCCCAAATTCCAAAACAGGAAAGAAAATGGAATGTCAATCTCAACAATTGACCAGCGCTTTTGAGGATTTTCTTAAATACAGACATGAAATCTGGTGCATAAGACTAGAGGAAAAGCATGGTTTTACAGAAATGGAGGACTATGGGCTTAATGAAAGCAGCTATAGGAAAACCCCAAACTAGGGGAGAGTCTTGTCAAACTCCCCCGTGGCGGCTTTGCTTGACACAGCTAGACCATTTGGGTTCTGCCTGCCCGACTTGGACTTGGCAGTAACCAGAAGCTGCAGTTATTCTCAGGCCAAAGACTGGAATACGTGCTGTGGGGCCAGAAAATCCACAAACCCTCCCATGACTGCATATCCCCATAGAATGGGGAGCCTTAAGCATAGAAACCACTGGCTTATCTCATGTGAGAGGTTGCTCCAAAATCTTGATCAACAGTTAGACTACCATTGGCTGAACCAACTACCCCAAATGGTTGATCCCAGACAACAAAAATGAGTAGACAGTAAAATTCTAGAAGTTTAAGGAAAATAAACAATACAACAAATAAGCAAAAAACTCAGAATTTAGAAAAATGTTCTCATTCCTGGTCACCACTAGAAGCCTTCAATAAGTGTGTTGAATGTGAAACATGAATTATTATGAAACTAAAGACTAGTTGAGCAAACCAGAGGATTGAATGTAATTAAAAATGAGTGAGAGCAGGATAAAGTGGGACCCTTCCCAGAAGCCATTGCAGAGCATTCAAAAGAGTAGAAAGCTAGGGGAATAGATTCAGAGTTTTAGCATCCATCTGATAGAAGTTTCTTATGAAAAACAAGGGAAAAAATAAAAAATACAAGTAACTTTCCAAGTCAAGACTATTAGAATATTCTTTTTGCATTCTTACAGGCCAAGTTAATCCATTTAAAGAGGACAAATAGGCCAACTTACACAGACTGAGGACAAACAAAATGGCAGTAACTATTGTTTTGCATGCTCAGCGAAGAAATGACAGCTCTATGATATAAATTTAAAGATTACAAAATTTTCTTCTAAGCCAATGTTTAAATGCCAACATTAAAAGTTGTTAACATTTTTATGGATATTTAGGATGCAGCTTATTAAGTGAGCTCTCTTGCAGATCTGCCTCTGAATAGCTTTTGACTGTTCATCAAAATTAAATCAGTCCCAGTCTTTAAATGTTTTTTGGCAGGGGTTAGGGGGAAGGTCCACAATTTAGAATCTTGGTAAGAGCATAGGCTTAATTTCAAAAGAATATATTCTTAATTTCAAAATGTGGTAGGCACCACATTTAGCTCTCAAAAATCCTGTTAAGGAAGTATTCTTATACAGATGAAGAAACACAAACTGCACGTATATTATTTGTTCAAGGACTACACAGCTGCTATGCAGTGGACTGGCTCTTAACCAGTCTTCCTCCACCTTATGCCATATTGAGTAATAAAACATCGGAGAGTTAAGGATCCAACGAAAATGTGGTACTTGTACACAAGGAATTTTACTCAGCCATGAAGAAGAATGAAATCTTATCATTCGCAAGTAAATGGATGGAACTGGAGAAATCATTCTAAGCGAGGTCAGTCGGGCTCAGAACCAAAAATCATGTTTCTCCCTCATATGCAGACTTTAGATCAAGGGCAAATGCAGCAATGTGTTGGACTTGGATCAAATGACAAGAGGAAAGCACATATGGGAGTATGGGATAGGTAGGAAACCAAACATGAAAGCGTTTGATGTCCCCACGCCAGAGGAACTGATACAGAACTTTAAAGCGGTCAGAGGATAACATGAGAAGGATCAGGAACCATGTGTATAGATCAGTTAGAGATGAGATTAACATGAGGTTGTTAACACATGGGTAACGAAAGCAATTTAGGAATCTCTCTGTATAGCTATTCCTTAACTAGCAAAAACTCTTTGTCTTCCTTCTTTGCTTGTGTCTTTCTTCAACAAAATTAGTGATAAGGGCAGAACAGGACCTGCCTGGAACTGATGGGGGAGGGGGGACAGGGTGGAGAAATTACCCAAACAAGTATGCACATGTGAATAAATGAATAAATAAATAAATAAATTATACAAGCCCCACCCCAAAAAAGGAGTTAAGGATCCAGAGATGATTTGATGACTCCTGAGTATACATGTGAGGTGATTTATAGCTATAGAATTGAACATACATGCATTTAAATTTTTTATTAAGAATATTCATTATATGAGGAGGAGGATTTCGTAGTGACAATTCTGATTAGCCTTACATTGTACATTATTTACATTACTTCTGTTGTCTCTCCCCCTCAATCCCCTCCCCACCCCACTTAAAGCAATTACAAGGGGTTTCTTAGTCTGCTTCATATAGGTATATGAAGTCCATCTGCCATATACTGTCACCTTAAATGCCTTTCTTCAACCTCCCCCTTCCCACTAGTACCCCCACACACACTGTACCTATTTTACAGTCTGTCGTTCATTATTATTTAAGTTGATGTTCAAAGGGGTGTGTTCAATGTATGCCCACTGTGGGTGTGCTTTATTTTGTTCTATTCAAACCCCTCCATTGTACTCCCTTACTGCTTTACCTCCCACCCCCCCATTTTTCAATAGCTTTCAGTATACATCCTTATATCCTTACCTTCACATCTTATGTTATGCAATATTACTGATGCTCTATCATTCTCTTCCTTTCCCTCTCCCCAATTCATGATAGTTCTGCTATATAAACTGTTCTACATCTAAGTTGTATGTGATCAGTTTGTTTTTGTTTATATGTTGATCTTGGATCTATCTTCTACATATGAAAGAAAGCATGCGGCTTTTGTGTTTCTTTGATCCTGTCCTTACTTACTTAACATAATGTCTTCCAATTGATCCATTTGCCTTATCTGGCTATTATCTCTATCTATCTATCTATCTATTCTATCTATCTAAATTCCTTGATCTATTCATCAGTTGTAGAACACCTGGGTTGTTTCCAAAGCTTGGCTATTGTGAATAGTGCTGCAATGAACATCGTGTACAGGTGTCTGTATTGTATCCTGTCTTATGATTCTTTGGGTAGGTGCCCAGGAGCGATATCACTGATATATGGCAGAGTAAGCTCTAGTTTTTTGAGGAATCTCCATACTGCTTTCCATAGTGGTTGCACTAATTTGCATCTCCACCAGCAGTGTATAAAAAGTTTCCTGTTTCACCACGTCCTCGCCAGCATTTTTGTTGTTATACCTTGATTTTGGCCATCTAACTGGGTGAGATGAAATCTGTATTTTGATTTGCATCTGTTTTATAACCAGGGAAGTCAAACACTTCTTCTTGTATTTACTGGCCATTTGTTACCTCTCCTTTGGAATTCCCTGTTTAATTCATGTGCCCATTTCTTCATTTGCGGTGTTTATTCTTTAGGGGCTGAGCTTTTCGAGTTCCCTGTAGATTCTGGATATCAGTCCCTTATCAGATGAGTAGCTGGCAAAGATTTTCCCATTCTGTGGGCTGTCTCTTGAGTGTGGTGACTGTTTCCTTTGCTGTGCAGAAGCTGTTTAGTTTGATATAGTCTCATTTGTTCATTGTTTCTCTTAGATGCTGAACCTTGTTGAGTTCTGTTTTGGAAGCTGTTCCTTACAACTATCTATTTCAGTGTATTTCTTACTACTTCCCTGGAGTTCTTTCAAAGTTTCAGACTTTACATTAAGTCTTTTG